ATCCCCGTGTGTTAAGCTTTTGTCCAGAAGTGCCTTTACTGTGTCCTTAAATTAGATATTTCCGTGTTCTCTAGCCTTACATCCTAAGGACGCTGTAGACTTAGGATACCTCTTCTCTCCTGAGTGTTCGTTACCCTCTGTATCGTTTTATGCAGCGCAGTCAGAATTTGAGAACAGCTGGCAGCCCAACTCTATTGTCTGTTTAGCTACATGAAACCACGCTTTGTCCCACTCTGAATCCTGATGGAATAAAATTAGATAATTGGTTGATTGCTTTCTTCTTTCTCTTGTTTATTGCTTTTTTTGAACAGGCTTCCTAAATCTGCAATGAAAGCTTCAGTCAGTACTTGTGGATTAATAAATTAAAGAACAGATTTTTTTTTTTCTTTCTGTTGTCTGTATCTCCAGAATAACGTCACTGATTTTTGCTTGTGCTCCCCTATCAAACGTTTTCAGTTATCACAATGGGCAAGTACATGCGAGGCTCTCATCCTGGCTCATCAGATGTATCAGTGCTCATGAGAATGCTGAAAAGAGACAACAATTAACAGTCCGGGATTTTTTATTTGTTGCTTTGTTGCCTGCATGTACTGTGTTCACAGAGTAAGTGCCCTGGAAGCCAAGAGCTTGCATGGAGGAGCAATGATGTTGATCATAGCCCCTTATAGAAGCATCGTTCTTAATGCTCTTTGGCCGGGCAAATATTTGCTTCCCAGGAGTGATCCTCTGGAGTTGGCGATGTAAGAAACGCCTGTCAGAGTGAGGCTTGCTGGGTCAGGAACCCTTCCCATTACAGTATTACTAACAGTCCAAAATACAGCGGTGTATGATCAGCGTGACTGCAAACACTCAGTAGTATCTTTATATTGTAAAAAGAGAAGAACAAAACTGTTCTGAAAGTGCTTGCTACGAACTGCCACTTAATTTGTAGGACTGAGCATGTACTTCAGGTCTGCAGAATGGAGGTTAATGAGATACACGCAAACTCATGGCTAATGACAGCTAAAAACAAACATGAAAAGGAGGCTATAAAAGCTAATAAAGAGTCTTGTTGCATGCTGAATAAAGCTTTTATGATTTTATCTCTTTCTTAAGGCAAACAGTACATTTTGTTTCTGTTTTGCAGTGAACATAAGCTTTGGAAGGTTAAATAGAGAGTATTAGGTTATGTTAAGTGGTCATCAGAGGCTTGCTTTACAGTCATGGCCTGTTAAATTGTTTACTGAGACTTATTATAAATATATATCCCTCTTTGATGCTGGTGTCAGTTTTAATCCCAGTTTATCTCCTTCTGGACCTGAGCCTGTCTAGTTTTTCATAAAACCTGGGAGAAGAAACTTAATGTTTAAGATGCTTTTTATTATGCTCCACAAATAGTAATGTGTCACCGCAAACATATCAGTCACCCCAGTAAACTTTTAGCATTTAGCTAATGTGTATCTCTGTGTGCTTTCTCAGCTTGTATGTTTAAGCCTGCTGGAGTACAGCAGTGAGTCGTTCTGGCTGCGCCCTCCCCGGGTGGGAGCAGGTCGGGGCAGCAGGGTGGCCGAGCTGTCATCTGTCACGCTCACAGGTCACCTCCTCACCTGCTGAGCCCAAGGCTGGCGTAGCTGGGTTGACATGCCCCAGACGTGGCGCGGTGCGCTGGCGGCGGGGAAGCTGCTCCCAGGTGCCCCGCACGCTGCGTGGTGCCTGAGCAGGGCTGGCCGGGAGCGGCCACCAGAGCAGCACAACCTCTCGGGCAGAGCTGGACCCCACCGGGCACGGGGAGTTATCCACCAAACTCTGCTTTGCTTTGGGGCAGTTCTCCGCAGTCCAGACTTTTCAGTTTCCGCACTGGGTTTACACATAACAGCGTTGAACATCTGCATCTTGTTAACCCGAAGCAAGCAAAGCTCTGTACAATTTCAACAAGGAGTGTGAGTGCAAGAGCCCTTTCTATGGATAACAGAGAACAAGCCTTTTGGATACTTTGTTTGGACTTTTTGAGGGTGTATTAATATAGCCAATTCTCAGAAAAATATTTTGCCTCCTGTTTTTTTCCTTTTTACTCTAACTTCTGGAGCCTGTGTGTCCTAAAGGACAGCCCGTGACTGCTGTGTCTGGGGTCTCAGCTGCTGGAGCTTGGGCACCACGGGATTTGTAACCGTGCCTTAAGGCAGGCAGAGCCGATGACCCTTGTATTTATATAGCGTTGCTTCGTTAATCTCTGCAGAAGAATGATGTGCGTTTGTGTGGAAGTCAGGTGGTGTTGGGGCAGACTGCCAGGGAAAACCTGGACGTATGTGGTATATTGATTTGCTGAACTCATTGAGGTATTTTTGTGTGTGTGGAACCTAGTGCTGGGACTTGAAAATAAGTCCTCGGATAACCTGTGTTGTCAGGTAATCCCGGCAAAATGAGAGGCAAGGCTAGGGAACTACTGGAACGCAAGAGCAGGCTGTTGGGCTAAACAGAAACAGGATTATAGGCGTATGGGAGAGAGAAAGGGAGCTTAAAGGCGGAAGGAGCACTAGGGAAGATGTTCTGGGCTCAACCCTGCATTGCAGTACTTGCACACACTTACAGCCTGTGTGGTTAGTGGGTGTCAGGTTGTTTTTGTGGGTTTTTCCAAATATCTATGGATTACACTGTTCACAGTGAGTCATACCTCTCTATTCCAACTGTTAACAATTCTGTGTTGGACTTCTGGCATATAAAAAGATATAAAGTTTCTTGGAAAAGGTGGTCAAGTCTGTATGACTGTTACAGTTGCTGTAGCTAATACTTGCCTTTCTCCACCATTTGTGCTTCTTCATGCACAAATCAATAACTGGGAAATAGAGCACAGTGAAATACAAACAAATTTACACCAAGTAAAAGTTAAAAACGTGGGGAACATTGTGAAAGCTAATGAGAAATTGTAGTCGTGCGTTCGCAAAATAAAAAAAAAGATAATCGGAAAATAATATCATGAAACCAGATAATTTTAACTTTGAGACGAAGTGCTGTTGATATCATTTGTGGGCAGGACTCCTTTGTTTTGTAGTGGAAAAACGTAAAAAGATTCAGTAGTGACATGTGAAAAACCATTAGCAGGAGACTGCTGTTTACCTTCTTAAAAAACCACACATTAGATGCATTCCCATTCTCGCCCATCTGTGAAATTCTGGGGAGCGAGAGTCTCATCTCATCCTACAGAAGGTCAAGGAAACAAGCCTTGGATCACATTTGGATGGATGTGTGAGCAGCCCGGGAAAGGCCCGTTTCCTATCTGCGTCGCTGCTTCTGGCTCTTCTGGGCAGCCTCGTTTTCCTGCGGCTGCCTTGCAGCGAAGGCTTTCAGGCTTGCTCCCTGTGTGCCGCGCATAGCAAACCAGCAGGCTCCCGTTGCAAAGAGCTGAGGTTGTAACTTGCGTGAGTGTGTTGCATGGGAAGTTGTTCAGATGCTAGAAAACAAAAAGTTTCCACCAGTGAAGAAGTATGTGTCCTTCATGTTTCCCCTGGCAAAAGCCCGACTCTTTGCCTTGGATCTGCTGCTTGGAGTAGCCTCTGCTCTTTGTTGCATATTCAGTGTGTTCTTGGAGCAGATTGATGGATGTTTCTGCAAGAAGAGAAAAGATTCTGGTTTTCACATTTTCACTCAGAGCAGTTTTGGTATGGAGGGCAATCACCAGTTGTGTCTTACTAGTCCTTAAGGACAAGATCATCCAAGCTAAGCAGATCCGCAAGTGATTGGTTTCCACGTTGCACTAACCCTGATGTCTGTGCAGGGAGGACCTGGGAGATGTAGCAGAGAGCAGTGCAGCAGGACTCGGGCATGGAGGCATCATTTGCATCTCTACTCCGCCAAAAAATAGGAAAATAATCTAGAATCAACGGGGGAGAGAGGGAGCAAGACATAATCCTAAATAGCTGGCTACTCTATGGCTGGAGGCTTGGCTTTTGATCCCTTTTGGAGGATTATTTATGTATATTATCCAGGAAAAATTTCCAACACTAAACGAGTTCATTTCACACCTCTCGATGGTGTGGAGATGTCACTTGCTTCTGCAGGCAGTGCTTTTAAGCTTTGCAACCCTCCCCAGTGTTTGGAAACCACTATAGAAAATCACTGGTTGCCCAGCTCATTGGAGGCCGCTCCACTTTTACTCCAAGCAGTGTAATTGACAGGTACTGCTCTATAAAATGTGCCATGTCCAATCCAGCAAGGCTTAAATTATTTCATATCTGCACAGACTCTCAAGACTCTTCTTTTTAAAGCCTAAATGGGCAGCCTGCAACATATACTCCGCAGAGATAGCTGACAGCAGCTTACTAATCATATTCCCTGCCCAGGCCCAGACAGTATAGGAGTGATTGACCTTTCATATTGCACTGGACATCCACTTTAATATTAAAGGAATAGGAAAACACACTGCATAACATAAGGACATGCAGGCTGACTGTACTGTGGCTCCTTTGCATGAGCACTGCAAAATTGTGGTGAAGGTGTTCCTATTCAGGAGAGAAAAAAGGCCTGTCCCATGCAACTGCTGTCAGTGCAATAATAAACCACTAAAAACTTAACCTGCCCACCCAGATTCTTTGGCCCATGATGGACAGCACTTATGTACGGTGTCGTTATATTATAGAAAGTATTGTGTCCTATATAGCATTTAAAGGAATGAAGTTCCCTGCAGGACGGCGAATGCTGGTAACTACAGTGGTGCTGGATGCATAGCAGGGAGAGCTAAACCATTCACTCTTATATAACTTATAGCAAACTAGGAACCTGATTCAGGGCTATAGCTGAATTAAATATAAGCTTCCAGTTAAGAATTTTTTAAGGAAGAATATCCAGGTTAATGATGCCTAGTTACTTTCCTTTGCTGTCACTAGCACAGCAAGGTCGTCTTCTCTAGGGTTTCTCACTCCCAATGGAGCTTATGAGCAGAGTAAGGCCTGGACAGGAGTTCTGAGTTGGAAGCTGTCTATCCAGACCTACGCTAACCTCTCACGGTCTCTTCTCCTTTTTTGTAGGCAACATCTTTGTCGTCAGTTTGTCTGTCGCAGACCTTGTAGTTGCGGTGTATCCATATCCTCTGATCTTGAGTGCCATTTTCCATAATGGATGGACAATGGGGAATGTTCATTGCCAGATAAGTGGGTTCCTGATGGGCTTAAGTGTCATCGGGTCCATTTTCAACATCACTGCAATTGCAATCAACCGCTACTGCTACATCTGCCACAGCCTGCGGTATGATAAGCTCTTCAACCTGAAGAACACCTGCTGCTATCTCTGTCTGACTTGGATACTGACGGTGGTGGCGATCGTGCCAAACTTCTTTGTTGGTTCCTTGCGGTATGACCCCCGGATTTACTCCTGCACCTTTGCCCAGACAGTGAGTACTTCATACACTATCACAGTGGTGGTGGTTCATTTCATTGTCCCACTGTCCATCGTGACATTTTGCTACCTACGGATCTGGATTTTGGTGATTCAAGTCAAACACCGAGTGAGACAAGACTGCAAGCAGAAGCTCAGAGCAGCTGACATCCGGAATTTTTTGACTATGTTTGTGGTTTTTGTCCTTTTTGCTGTGTGCTGGGGACCGTTAAACTTTATTGGCCTTGCTGTTTCAATTAATCCTTCAAAAGTACAGCCGCACATTCCAGAATGGCTTTTTGTCCTGAGCTATTTTATGGCCTATTTTAACAGCTGCCTCAATGCGGTGATCTATGGGCTTCTTAACCAGAATTTTCGAAAGGAGTACAAAAGGATACTACTGACGCTCCGGGCTCCAAGGTTGCTGTTCATTGATGTGTCGAAGGGTGGGACAGAAGGGATGAAAAGCAAGCCATCTCCAGCCATAACAAACAACAACAATCAAGCTGAAATACCTTTATGAATCAGAACTGTACTATTTATTCTGGGTTATAGTTGTGTATATAATATAAAGAGCCTCCCTATGTGTGCATTTCTCAGCTGATGTTGCTGGGCCCCAAACTGCCAACCACTTCTCATACAAGGAAAGGAGTCTGCTACCTCTTTATACTCTGCATATCACCATGACTTTAAGGCTCTGGGAAGGGATTTGCAGAATGGAAACAACCAAAATTTATCTTTTTTTTTTTTTCTTATGCCACCTTTCACCATGTGCCTATTTGGTTTGGTTGCTTTCGCCACAAGCATGCCAATACCCTCTGGAAAGGGAAGCATTCAGGGTGCATGGAGAAATGCAGTAATGCTTGAAATGCAAGCTGCAAGAGCAGGCAAAATGACCATGTATGACAGGCAGACCTTTCTGCCTTCCCTCTGAATTCTATTCGTTTAACATTAACGTAACCCAGACTATAGGGACTGAAGTGTAAACTGCATGACTTTGTACCTTTTTGGAAAGGTTAGTAACAGTGTTAGTCAGCAGGCATATATATGGGCATGATGATTTCCACTGTGTGTGTTTGTTTTCTTTTTACTTTTTCTTTTTTACCTTTTTCTGTTAAGGGTTAGCGGCTAGCCTGTACTAGATGTGAGGCAGGCAAAAGCCAGACCTAGTGAGTGTCTGATGCACTCGTTTTAATTGAATCTATGCAGATATTAAGTACCCTTGCACTCTCCTTCCCAGGCCATGAATAAGAGTACAACACATGACATAATCGAATTGTACAAAGATACTTGGAGCCTGATTCTAATTTAGACAGTATCCTGGCGTTCATTCCAAACATATTTCAGAAGTCCCTGCTACATGAACATCATAAAAAAGATGAACACAGCAAAGGCCCATTTATTTAATGCAAATGCAGACTTTTAATAAATAAACGGAGGAAAACTAAATTCCAATAGTATTTACACTTGTAGACAAAGGCATAAGGGGGAGGAAGCGTTCATTCCAAACATCTCTCCTTTTGTCTACCACACGGCATGAATTTGATGGAGGGGGAAAAAAGTGGAGTGTTTTTTTTTTTTTTCCATTTTACTCATTTACAAAACTGTAATTAATTTTCACAGAGTTAGGTGAGGAAGACTGCCTGAGCATATCCATGCGTCATTTCTCGGTTAAAGCCTAAACTCTGCTATCTTTGTCATTGCAAACAGTGTCCAGAAGTGCTGGGTAGACCAGTGTCATATTAGGAACATAAGCACATGGGCAGAGGTAAGGCTTTTTCTTGATTGGGGTGGAGGTGTTACTGTTTGTAAATATGACTTTTTTTTCCTTTAGCTTCCTTGTAAATTCATCTCCTTATGGTTTTAAATAAGTAGATCCTGCTTTGAAGCAGACCCCTTGAATAAAGAGGCAAAACTCCCCTAGTGCAACTCTATGTTCAAGTCAGCAAAACTGGCTTGATGCTGGCCTGGCAAGGCACTCGATGGCCTCGGGGAGAGCACTAGGAGCTATGCTATAGATGTCCCTCCTTCTGAGGGGAAAAGGAGTTGAGAGAAATTAAGCCCCTTTATGGATTGGGCCAAGAAATATTGTGTGGTATATTGCTTTAATGAGGGCTACGGTGTACAGGCTGCCACGTGGCGAAGGTTACTGCAATGCGCGTGGGTCTCTGTGTTTAGAGGGTGCCCTGGCACTTTGTTACTGCACGTTTTCAAACTTGAACATCTCAGCCTCTTCGAATGAGTATTGTTTTAAAATGCACTGCAGCCAGCATCCCATAATAGGAATCAAGCCGAGTTCTGTTTTGGCCTCTTAATCTGCCTGAGCATGGCCAAATAAAGGTATCTTGACCCTCACAAATGTGGCCCGCCTCCCTTCCAGCGAAACCAGTATGCATGAATTCACACCATTCTGTGCAAACAAAAAACATTTTGAGTCAAACTTGGATATAAAAAGCACTAAGGAATCCATAACTGCCGGGATTGTTTTTTTCAGTAGTGCCAGGGAGGTGTCCTTGTGTGCTGTGACTAGTGTTCAAACTAGTTTGCAATTAGCCACAATGCTGCTAGGTAAAATCACATTAGCAAATAATTTTAAGTGTCTAGCACCAAGCCAAACCAAATATGCTCCTTGAAGACAATCATGAAGAATCCTTACAGATTTGCCAACTGTCTCAGATTCCCCCACGACTGGGGTTTCATCTCATGGATCCTTGTCTTTTTAACTGAATGTTCAATAAAGGTAATGTGGTCTTTTTTTCTTCTCTTTAAGCTTGAATTTGCACTATTTCGTATTCAGACTCCGAAGTAACAGCCAGTCAGCATTTGGACCAAGCTGAGTAAGCCAAAGAGGTCCCAAGCAAGCAAGTTGTGGGAGTCTCTGTTAGAGCCTGGTGGGAACAGGAGCAGCCGCACAAGCCTGTGCTATGGGAGTGTGATAGGGCGTCCCGTGAAGGGTCAGGGAGAGTCACTGCTGAATTGAACTGTGCAATGTGACAGGGGATTTGCCCGTCTTCTGCTGGGGGGGGGTCTGAGCCTGGATCATGCCAAGGTCTTTGCAGGGGACATGCTAAGTACCTGCTGCACTGGAGTGGGGGCCCAAGCAGCTCCCTGCAGGTACATACCTGACCGCTGCCCCATGGGGTGGGATGGGTCCTGCAACAGGCTCTGGGCTCTCTTAATGATGCAGCAAGCTTGCTGTAGTGCAGCCAGTTCAGAAGCACTTTGGGCATCTCAGTAGACGGTAAGGCTGCCCAAAAGCAAACACGGAGCTTGGATGATTTAGCTGTCACAGCTGGAATCTTAAGCGAAGTTCTGCTGGAGCTGAGAGTCGCAATATGAAACCCAAAATGCAGGGAATTTGGCTTCAATCAGAAAACACTGTGCCGTTTGCTAGCACTTTGGTACTGATGGTGCTTAGACTAGGATGATTTTATACTGAATTCTCTTAAGACTACCCCAAGTAACTCCTTGTTTTTATGTTGCAAAATGGTTAACAGGGTACAGAGAGTTTATTTTGTTAACATTTGTTTACAGAAAAAGGGAAATGCATCTTAAACTGGGGATCCTGAGCAGAGTCAGTGTTTTTCCCCATGGGAATCCAGCTGTAATCCAAATTTGAGCTTTGAAGTAGATCCCACAGCCTAACCAGCGCTCTATCTATTCTACCTGTTGCAGATATGGCTTTAAGTCTCAGAGACAGCATTGAGATCTCCTATAAACTGTTTTTAAATCACTAGCTCTGGATTTACCCTGGTGGTGTTGAATACTGATTCTAGCCCAAAATCCTAAAATTGTCATAGTGGATATTAACTTATGGAGAGACTATATTGCCATAAAGGAAGATGAATCTCTTGCCACGAAGAAATACTTTTGGATGATGCTAATGAATGTTGTATAATCTATTTAAGAAGAATGTAACCAGTATATTTATATATAAATATATATTGCATATGCTGTTTCCAGTTTATCATTTGATTAAGAATTCTTCATTTTACTTATCTATAGCTGTTTTTTGTTCATAAAGTAGATTCATTCCCTTTACTTGCCAAAACTGTAATAAATCTGCCATTGGACTGCTTACTGTTTTTTTCCCCTCTGAAATTATTTTTTTTAAATAAATATGTGAAACAGCAGCTTGGGTTTTGGTGAATACCACAAAGCAGATAGATTTGTCCATTGACAAATAGAATTGGTTAAAAATAGAGATTGAATTCATACGTACCTCAGCTGCAGGGCTCAGATTGGGAACAGAAACACCCAGTGCATCTGGGATGTCACTTCTGATTCATGGGTTTTTCTTGCATCCACGGTTGAGCCAGTCGTCTGTATGCACTAAAACCTTATTCATCAGGGAAGAAACTTTCTCCGAACCGCAGCTGGGCTCTTTGCTGTGTGAGCCCTTGAAGGCGCTCTCTGCCTTTCGTGCCTCTGTGTTCTTTAGCCATCAACTTATGGGATGCTACCTGCACGCTTTTTTATCAGTCATTTCTTGCTCTCTCCTAGCAGAGGGTCTGCAAAAATGCTGGTATGGCTGCTTTATTATTTTAAAAAGCAGATAACATCAGTTGTGCTGCTTATGAGCTAATATTTCAAATTTGGGATTGTTACCAATTTGTATTATGTTCTGTAAATGGATATTAAAAATACTTCTGAAAGTGAAATGGGGATAAAGTTATTAAATCATCAGTAAGGTCTTAAAAGAGAGTTATGTCTAGTTAAGAACACCATGAACATGTCCTAAACTAGTAAATTACTTATCAGGGGAGCAGATCTTTCTGTTTGAAAGAAATCTGGCATCTAGTTACTAACTTCTATTAAACTGTCCACCAAGAAATACTGTCTTTTATTGCATTAAAATTTCTTCCATAGTTTAGGGCTGACCAATGCTCATTTGAAATGCAGTGACTACTCCGTTTCTTCCTGGCATTAGTGGCCCTACTGTGCAGTGGAACTGCGGGGGCTCTCAGTGGTCAGTCTTAAAAGCTAAAGATGTTGTTACGCTTCCTGGGAAGCAGCACAAAAAGAGCTGTTGTCCTCTCTTCCTATGAAAGAAAAGCAGTGTTTCATTGCAGCATAAAAATAATCATGTGAAAACTATCACATGAAAACCAAGGAGTGCTTGCATCTTATTGGTACATGGTTATCTTACTCTAACAGACGCAGGGTATAACATCTTGTTCATTGCACTGCCTCAAGCCCACAGTGTAGAAACGTGGACTTGTAAAATTAAAAAATGCTTTAACATAAACATAGAAGCACAACAACTGAAACGTACAAAGCTCCTACGTGTAACTGTGTTGTAAGAGTTTAATTGCTACTTCATCCTGGAATAGGTTGGATCTAGGGAAAAGACATAAAGAAGGTAAGTTATTGATGCAAGGAAGCATGGTGCTGATTGAAAGGCTGTGCAAGTTTATTCCAAGAGGCCGTGCACTTCGTTTCATCTGCTGCTTCTGTTGTGAATCCTACAATGCTCAGTGATGTGAGATGCTGAAAACAGTCTTTATGATAGCTGCGGATCCAAAAATGTCTGTCAGAATAGTGATCTTAGAGAATCTTTGCACTGACTCATACCTGCTACTACAGCCATGTGGAACTGAGTGAATTGAACTGTTAGAAGTGAGGCAATGTTATTTATTTACTGACTTGCCCTGAAGTATAGTAGCTGGGAGATAAGCTACAGCTCTAAAGGACAGAGTTGCTATAATTCAACAGCAAGGATAAAATCTCACTCATGGTGACTATTTAGAAATCAATATTTGTCCTAATATATTTGCTTCGAAGCTTATAATTTATAACATGAAGCCAGTTTATAAAGAGTACCTGCACATGCGTTTAGAATTTTATTGGAAAAATATAAATTACTATGCCTAATGCAATATTTCTTACCGTAAAAGCACTGAGATCAGAAATGCAGAATGGGTTCTTGCAAGAACTCTGTGATGAGATATGCAAATTTAGTTATTGGTGGTAAGCGCCATAAAATTTGAATCACTCATGAGCCAGCCACATTTGTGAATGGAAGCTCCATAATATTGTTAACTGAATTTTCATTCGGTTATGCTTGTTTATAATATCCATTATTCATATGCTAGAAGTAATGCACTGTACAGCAGAGATAGGATTTACAGTATGAGGTCAGTTTTCAAAGCAGAAAGAGCGATTCTGAACCGTTTATTGAAATATGTTTCTATGTGATTTCCCAAGCATGGCTTCCTGATAAGGTTTTTAACCGCAAATAATAACTTCTAAGAGTCCAGGGAAACTTTAATGTCTTTTAGATTAGTGGCAAAGACTGTACAGTCACTGCTTTCTTAGATTGCCTCTGAAATAGGTTGAGCCATCAAACCATATTATAAATCTTTGCAGTTGAAGCACATCATATTTTCTATATGCAGAATATTTTATAGGTAAAACATTTAATGAATCTTGATGTCTTTCCTTCTGCATCATGCTCCTCTGCTGTGAACAAAACTTCCACATTTCCTTGGAAGTAGGTTGCCAAATGTATTATTTTCTAAATTCTAAGCAGCTGGCTTGCTCTTGAGGTAGGCTTACAGTGTTTTTGATAGGTGTGTAGGATAGAGGTATTAATGTGGCACCAAAATACAGCCATCTTTGGGGTGAAAATGGCAGCTATTTTGCAATTAAAAAAGGGGGGAGAGGAAGGAAGCAAAGCAATTTATATGAAAGCAATTAAAAAATGACATCTGTGGTCAAAAGAAGAGAGGAATGTTTGGAAGGACTGTACTTGCTCCAGTCGGGATCTAGCCAGGATGATGAAGTTAATGAACCTGTTAATATAAAAAATGACCCAGAGAGTTTTATGGCAGTGGGACACACCACCAGAGTGCTGAAGTGACTGCTCTCGCCGGGGGCGCTTTCTG